CTTGGGTGCTTCTTACGATTGCTTTCTGAAGAAATCCATTGCAACAATGATCGCATCGACCCAATCGGCTGTGTATGCACTCGGCGGATCAATGCTAGTTTGAACGTATTTCAAAATGTCCCATGACATTGGCTTCAGATCGAAGGCATGGCTGATATTATGGAAGCTTGTTGGATCAGCTGCATTCAAATCATTGTCAGTCGTTTCGGTTCCCATCAAAAACAATGATATTTCATCGGTGGGCTTGGTGAAAATCTAAATTTTTGTATATGATCCATGTTCATTCCAATTGAATAAAATGGTGTAATTTAAAAATTTTACGAAAAATTACGGTTTTACCTTGTTTCGAACAATCGATTCGATGCATATTTTTGCTTCGTCGTAGAACGTTTTCTCTTTTAATTTATCGTACACGTTGGTGTTGACTCCAACATCAAAAATGATGCAAATTGCATCCTAACAAGGAAAATAAAATTATTTAATTTAAAAATAACGATTAAACCTTGATTATTTTAAGAATCTTTCATGATTCCCTCAATTTACCCGTGGTTTGGCCATCTTTGATGAGACGTAATTATGGAATTCAAGGCAAAACTCAGTTTTGTTGCAGACAGTCACTGTGTTCACGCGCCAATAATAGCACCGGTATGTTTTGTATTGCGTCTTGTTGTGAAATCATCAGTTGACAAATAATTCATATACGAATTACAACAACAACGAAACTGTCAAATTCGAAACTATTTTCGAATTTCGAATGTCACTCGTTTTGGTAAAGTACGGTTTTCAATGTGAATTGTATTTTTGAATGATATATCGGTCTAATCGAATTATTTTATTCACAAAATTGATAACTATAACATTATTTTCCATTTTAAATGAAAGAAATTATAATTTATAAAAGATTTAGTACAGAATTTTTAAAGGATTGAATCAACTGACATTCTCAACGTGCAACTCTTTTGTAGAGACGACAATTCAATGGCGAAATAATCTCAGAATTGACCTTTATTTCAAATATATTCTGAAACAAAAACATACACAACTGGGATTCAAAAATGGTTAAATACTTATCCTATTGTCTGATCCTATCTCTGACAGAACCTGAAATGCACCTCGCTCAGAACAATAAAATAAAAACAACGAAATTTGCTCTTAAAATCATTAACTGATTTTAATTAGTTTTTTTTTTATTTCGAACATTTTTTTTGTTAGCGTTGAAAATTATTTTGCATTCAAATCGACAATTATGCCGATCAGCGCACTCAACTGTCGTATATTACGAAAAAACGGATTTACAAAATAAGTTGTAATTTTGTTTATTGTTATTTTATGGAAAATGTTCAATAGCTTAATGGTTGGATGTCTAAGCTACGATTGAAACGTTGAATTTATGCCTTGGTTTGCTTGTTACGTGGTTTGGCTTGTCCACCTTCACGGAATCCATTACGGAAACGACGACGAACAATTTTCAAGTAACGGCAACGGCCAGTTCCTGTGGTCTTTCGGCGCTTAGATTTTTCTGACCAATTGTCTGTAAAAACAAATTAAAAAGCGAATTAATTGAGTATTCGTTTTGAAGCTCGAAACAAAATGAGTTTATTGTTATCATTCACTGTGTAGGAAATCTGTCGGAAAGTAAGTTCAATGGGAATTGAAAATACTTTAATGGAGATTCCCCGAATATAATGTGCCTAGTGTTGCTTGAGACACGAACCAACGGTGAAATGAGAATGCATCTTCAAAGACACAGGCACCCACTTCATAATATTTATCACATATGAATGTTTATCAATACTTACATGATCGGATTTTAGCGGCTGGGTATCCACATTGAGCGCAAGTTGATTTTTGGATGTGGTACGATGAACGACCGCATCGACGACACAAGGTGTGCGTCTTGTTATGACGCTTTCCAAAACTTGATGTTCCCTTCGTCTAAAATCCAAAACAAAACGAACATTTAATTAGATAAACTCATAATGTGTGAGCACGACAAGGTGAATTTTGAAGTGACACATGTTTTTCGGGTTTGTTTATCCACTCGAGTGCACAAAATGTTCACATTCAATAATTTGCGAATTTTCCAAAGCAACTACAAATCCAATTTTTGGCAATCAACACTCATTATTGTTCAATTGAGTAATGAGTTAACGAAGACCATAGACTTCACCATGCATTCGAGCGGTACAGAATAAATGCCAAAAATCACATATTTTCTCGCACAATTTTTCCAAAATATGATTATTTTCCAGTTGAATAGCACTTTTGGCACAGCATTTCACAAAAATTGAGTGATTTGATTATCGGATGATTTGGAAAATTTGCAATTTTATTTCGGTGAACAGCACACAAACGTACCATTTTGATCAACGACGACCAAGAAAAGAGTTTGACATATGACAAATACGGCTGCCATCCATTCGGTTCGCACTGGTGTTAACCGATGCAATGTGGACTCTTTTTTCCACACACATTTACATCTTGAGTACATTGTGCGGTTAGATGCTTTTCAAATGGAATAAATGATTTTTTTTCGGTTCCTTTAGCTTTTGCTCCATTTTCATTTTTAAAATAGCAAATTTATTTGCAACAAAAACGCATTTGACAATTGAATTAAAAATGTATGTTTGCTGACCTACGTTTATCTAAAATATGTCAGTGTGTATTTGACGGATTCAGGCAACATTATATTAAATAAATATCTCTTTTTTGTTCCTGTTTTTTTTTCTCTTATTTTGTTTGCTTCATATCAATTTCTCTGCGTTGAATGTCTTAAAAATAGCATATTGAAAATTTATATTTGTTTTGAGACTTTTTTAAATTATTATTCATTTATTTTGTAATTGAAGAAAAAATATTTTGAGTGACCTAAAAAAATGTGATTGTGAGCATATTTTTTGTTCATTGCCTGTATTTTGAATAAGAACGTAAAATGAAAGGAAGCTTTATTTATTACAATCAATATAATTAAATCTAGTTTATACTATTAAAGCAATTTATTCATTGTTTTTTTTATTGGCGCAATTGAGATACGAAAAATGCAGTTATTTGATATGTTTGAAATAATAAAAATCTGGTGGAAAGCATGCATCTCCTATATATTTCATAAATTTTGATCATATTTGCTTTTTTTCATTAAACCACCAATTTGTGTATTTCTCTACGAAAAACAAAGCAAATCTGCTCTCTGCAAGTGACTATAATTTATTAGACGATTTATTCTTTCGATTCTTAATTGACTTTTGACTAATTAAGTTGCCATCAAATCTAATAAGAAAATAATTTACTGCTACTGTGTGTACGGTTTTTATTTGTTAAAAAATTTAATGAAATAGTTAAAATGTGTGAAGCTGAAATTTTATTTTCAGTTTGATGTATATTGCAAAGGAGGCGATCTATGTGTCTTATTTAATTTATTAAAAAAAAAAAAAAAACGAATCAAACCAAAAACTCGTTGCGTGACGAAAATGTTAAGGCATATATTTTCTTTACATCGAACAAAAGTGGTGTTCGACTTGAAAATCCACGATTAACCAAACAAAATGAAAATTTAGCGCGCATTTAAAATCGACTTATGCGTGAACATTTTGCGTCGTTTCCTGTTTTTCAAGCATAGTTGATTCTCTATAAATAGTATAGTTTAGTATAGTTTATTGATTTTTTTATCATTTTTTTGTATCTAAAAGGCTATTGTAAAATGATCTAATTAGTTTAGCTTTTTGCGATTTATTATTGTATTTTTTTAAATTCTATAATAATCAATATGATTGAGTGTGAGGCAATCAATTCATAATAAGTGCATTCTATGACCTCTACATTAGTATAATTCAAACAATCTCAACAAAAAATTGGAAGAAGCAAAATATTAGGCACCAACAATTTTAAAAGAAATTTGAAATGTTTGTAAAACGGCGTGAGAAATAAAGTCAACGCAAGACATTTTCTTCACAAATTGCTCTAAAGAACTATATATAGTTCACTAACCTTCGTTCCGAAAAAACAGAGAAGTATTCCTAATGCCAATTTGTATTGTTCAAATTGTCAACTAAAAGAAGCCAAAGTGCATATCACAGAGACAATTAATTTGAATATCATAAATTTCGTCTACACATTTCATTGGCCACATGATGAAAAGTGAATTCATTCTTAATTGACTCATTCCGCCGTGAAGCTAATTCGATTTAATTTATGAAATGCATTTCTTATCACAATATCTTTGTTGTTGGTTTGAAATTTCCATTATGTTTAATCCATAAAAATTCAAAGCAACTTTTAAAATGTAAATCATTGAATCTGTATTTCAATCGTCAATGACGCTACCATAATATATGTATGTGGCTTTGTGAGGCAATTATAGTTCGTGCTTCGTGCTGTAAATTACAAAAAATTTAATAAGCAAATGGAATATATTTATTATAAATTTCCCTATTCTTTGGTTTTTATATAGCAAAATCGCATCAAATTCGACTCTTTTCTGTCTGGATCTTATTGATTGCTTCGAGTATGTATGTATGTATGTAAAGATGCAATTGATCGTTTTTGACATTTATTTCTAGTTAATCGTAAGCTATAGTATAATATTATTATTATTTTTCGAATATAGCAATTTTTCTGTATCTGCCTCCATCGATCACTTTATTGCATTTTGTATTTGATGATGTTGGCTAGTAAAGAGTCTAATTGTTTATTGATAATTTTATTTTAAACTTGTTTTAACAGCATCGCAATAACAATTCGATATTTATTCGCTTTAATTTGCATTCACATATCATTTACTCTATTTTTTTTTTGTTTTAAGGTGGGTTCCTGTCATGCAATTCACACCATATTCTACTCGGATCACACATCCATTTTTCTATCACTTGAGCTTGAGCCAGTCGTATTTTGTACCTTCACATTGACTATTTATTTTAAATCAATTCTTATCCCTTTACTGAGTCCCTATGGCAATTTGTACTGTTCTGCTTCACGTTCATTATTGGAGGAACTTGGATGTCATCAAGCACGCCCAATAGAAAATTGCATTATTCGATTGTTTCGAATAAAAAAGAAATATATCTAAAGACGTTTGATCGTGTCGCCGGTGAAAAATAAGGAAAATTTCCGTTTGAACGATATTGGCTCCTCTTCTTCGCTGCCACTTTCACTTGTACTCAGTACATCTTCGCCAAAGATAATGGTTCGCGTGTATGGTGGTGATGGATCGTTGGGATCTTCGGGCTCCAAGAAACCAGGATTCAATATTATGTTTGGTATTATACCAATTGTTTCCCATTCATCTTCTTCTGTATTTTGAACAAACGAGAACGAAAAATAAGAATTTTTGAAGAAAACACCGTCACTCAAGACAAAATGTTTTACCTCGCAAACGTTTTTCCTCCATTTCGAGATAATGATCGCGCAGCAATAATATACACAACGTGAGACCTAACACAACCAATGCGCTTACGCTTAATGTGACGGCATACATCCAAACTGTCGGATCGAAATCTTTAACATCTTTTAAAATTATATTCAAAATATCTGCAAAATAGTAACGATTAGATACGATTCTCATACATCATTCATCTGTTATCTTACTTGCATCGCTTAATTGACTCAATGTGGTCGCAGAGATTGTGACAGCTTCCCCGGAGCCCAAAAAATTGTTTGCCCACAAACGGAATTCGTAAGTTGTATTCGGAATCAAATGATACACCTCAAAATAACGCTAAAAAAAGTAAACGTCAACGTTAAAAATGATAATTTTAATTGAGTTTTGCGTTCCTTACCACATTCGATGGAATATTTTGTGGGTCTAATCGATGCCACAGTTGTGTCGTTATATTTGATTCATCTACGTCAAAATATTTGCGAAATTCTGCGGTGAAACTTTTGACCGGATAACCACCGGAACGATTTGATGGATATTCCCACATTAAAATGCCTATAATTGTTGATAATCGAACGCTAAATTTACTAACTGGACCGGGTACCGATCGCACCTTAAGCACAATCGTTAAGCCCTCAAGAAAACTATTATCCGTTATTTTTTCATTTGAATCGTCATCATCTCCCACTCGCGTTAATTCCGATTCATCGGGACTGACAAGGCAAACGTATGTGCCAGCATCGCTCGGTTGTATATTGTAGATTCGTAAATCCGAACCGCGCTGTCAGAATGGTAATTGATTTGAATTACATGTATCAAATTGCATGGTATTTGTTTTACTTACCACAAATTCTTTTGTTTCATTGCATTCTTCTTTTACCCACATGATGGAACCGCGGGCCAAGCACGGGATTGATATATTATTTCCAGCGTCTGTTAGATATTCGTTGAATTTTATGACCGACGAACATACCGAAAGTACTGAAAAAAAAAAAACAAAAACTTAATATACAATTTTTACCTAAAGTACTTAACTGATTAGGGATATTTGACAATGGCAACACCAAAAACATGGCGTCATATGTACTTTAGGCGGCTCATTAGTTGTCATTATGTCAATGTGTGTATATATAGTGTAGTATAGCAAAAACATACATCACTTGCATTTTAAACGTTCGACTTGTAAAAAAGTGCAGAAGTTTTCCAGAATATTGTTTTTCGGATAAACGAAATCGTAAGAACGTTTGCCAAAGGAAAATAAAAACGATTTATTGTAATTTGTTGAACGCGTTCGGAAGTTTCAATGTAAGTTTTGTGTTTTTTGGGTTATAATGAAAAACATCATCACCGATGAGTGACCGATGTTCAGTGAATAAATTTGTTTACAAACGTTTGTTTGAGGTTATTGATGTGAATTAATTTTTATTTCTGTTCTTTTTGCAGAGCTCCAACGAGTGACGGTAATTGGTTCGCCGAAAATAGAGTGAAGAAAATACATACAAAATGCCGAAGTATTATTGTGATTATTGTGACACATATTTGACACACGATTCGCCAAGTGTGCGTAAAACACATTGTATTGGACGCAAACATAGAGACAATGTTAAATTTTACTATCAAAAATGGATGGAAGAACAGGCACAACATTTGATTGATGCCACAACCGCTGCATTCAAAGCCGGCAAAATTGCACAAAATCCATTCTCAAATCCACCTCCGAATATGACGGCGGTTCCACCTCCGACTGGATTTGGACCACCACGCATGATGCCACCACCCGGTAAATACTCTTTCCTTAATTACTTTACTCCAAGGAGAGATATACAAATAAACTAATTACAATTTTTTCTTTGTTCTCATTTGAATATAGGTATGCCACCAATGATGCCGCCCGGTATGATGCCACCAGGAATGCGACCGGGAATGCCTGGCGCGATGCCAGGTGGACCGATGAGAATGCCACTCACTGGGATGCGACCACCAATGATGGCCGCACCACCACCACAACTCAATCAAGGTCCACCAAATGATGAATCATAAATCAATCATTATAAATCAACGGAATGCAAAAGATTTAGGTTTAAATCACGATTTTCATTTGGAAATTCACCAACTGAATAGATTATATTTTTAAAGTAATGTACTACTCGATTTATGACAAGAAAATAAATATGAAAATCACAAAAGATCAACGTTTTTTTAAAACTTAAATCTTCTTTAGTTTTGATTTGGCTCCTTTGCAATACGCAACATAGAACCTGAACCAAAACGCTGTATTTTGCTTGCAAATTAATTGAGTTAGTTCATATTGATTTTGTAGGCAAGACATTTCAGCGGTAAATGTTATTTCATACGCAAAAAATATGAATGATCATTGTATCTTTTAGTATGCAAAGGTATGACCGATTTTGCCTTGAGCTAGTTGCTTGCCCAATTGATAAGTCGAGAGGGGCGACGTGAAAGGTTTGTTGTTGTTTCGCATAGTTTGGTAAAAATTAACAAATTAACAATTTTTCTTTCGCACATAACCTAGAAAATGTAACCGAAATCGATTGAGGACATTTTTATATATGTTTGCTATGAACGACTATTGCTAAAACTTCAACAAATTATTGATTCAATTTCGTCTTTCCATTGTATGGTGACAAATGAAGGAACATTGTGTTATTGATTTTTAGGAATTATCACGTTATGCGTATTAAACGTACAACATTCATCGGTTCGCATGGTGTAGTGGCTATCACATCTGTCTAACACACA